TTTGGGGAGCGATAGAAAATTTCAAATTCTCTTAAGATTGGAGAAAAATATTTGAAAAACAATGTAGGGACGGGATAAGCTAAAGCTGTAATCAACTGTTTAGCTCAAATTCTTATTTCTTATTTTACCATTTGCATTATCAATTTCAATTATTGGGTTGGTGAATTGAAAACTGCCGGACTTTGAACTAAAATTTATTCAACATAAAACCATGAATTCATTCCAAATAATTTCCATTATTATTGACAACTTCCGCTCATTTTGCAGGCAATTTGCGGATTCCTCTTTCGTAGTAGGATTTTGGTTTGTGTGTGAGACAAGTGTGAGACTCAAAAATGGAGGACTAGAGATGCCCCAGTTTGAGCACTTTCTTCAAAAGAAACCCATTTTGGTGTCAATAGAAAAGTTGTAGAGAAATTTCGAAGTTTAACTTTAAAGAACGCCTTTCAATCACTGGGATATCATATTCATCTTCAAGAAAATCCAACGTATCATTCACAGCATTTGTCAGCAATTTTGAGAAGATTAACTTTTCCTCCTCTCGATTCAAAACGGAATCGACTTTCATGCCAAACTTCTCCACTAGTTGATCAACTTCTCTACTCGTTTTCCTCAATCGACGACCATATCTAAAATATTTTTTTAGCAGGATGTATTGGATTGGTGAATTGAAAACTGCGGGCTATTGTCATATGTGACAGTTCTCACACTTTCTTCAAAAGAAACCCATTTCGGTGTCAATGGAAAAGTTGTAGAGAATCAAAAATCAAGCTTATATCCAAATTTCCAGAACGATTCAAAAACTCGTTTTCAAGAAATGCCAAATTTACGAGTGTTCACAAAACTTGCATTTTAAGCGAAACTACTAAGTGTAGCTTTTTGGAAATTTGGATATAAGCTTGATTTTTGATTCTCTACAACTTTTCTATTGACACCAAAATGGGTTTCTTTTGAAGAAAGTGCTCAAACTGGGACATCTCCAATCCTCCATTTTTGAGTCTCATACTTGTCTCACACACAAACCAAAATCCTACTACAAAAGAGGAATCCGCAAATTGCCTGTAAAATGGGCAGAAGTCGTCAATAATAATGGAAATTATTTCGAATGAATTGATGGTTTTATGTTCAATAAATTTTAGTTCAAAGTCCCGCAGTTTTCAATTCACCAACCCAATATTATCATTAGTCAATCAAATAAATTCAAATATTCTTAAAGCTGTGTTATTAGCGGACTCTGTCAATAGAGTGTTAGCTTTGAGATTTAGAGTGGAAAATTTCTGTTTTTACTTCTCTATCTTTGCTTCTATTTAATTCCTTACTCGAGTTTGTGGTTGGCTCCTTGTCGGGGTAATCGCTGTGAATGTCTTTGGAGAAACCACCATAAACCTGTGATATAAAAGTCATTTTTCGAAGACTTTACTCGCAAACTTGAAGGTGCGATTGAGCGAAAACTTTCACAGAACACCCTTTCGTGAAAGTTGTAGAGCTTGAGTTTTTGGATGGGGCTTGAGTTTGAATCTCGAGGTAGAACTGGCCAGCGAAATCGATATCGAAAAAATGGCTTGAGTTTATTTGAATTGGAGGCTTTGGTGACTTAATATAACCATTTTTTGTTTTTTTCGTGTCAACCCAACCAATTAACTTTACGAATTTGCAAAAAAGTTATTACAAGACTCCTATGACTTTGACTCTTACAGGGCGACCAGAAATAAGAAATCTGTAAAGAAATATATTTCTACTTTGATCTTTATAATTTCTTGTGAGACCGTGTCTCGGTGTGGTTTAATGGTAGATGTCTTGAAAGCGCACAATTTATCAAAACTTTCCCTTATTAGAGCAAACTTCGCTCAAACTGGAGCAAGCCTAGCACTATCACAATTACTTCAACACTTGCGTGTGAAAAAGGGAGCCCACGACTTGACTCCAAAACAAAGCTTAAATAATGGGTTTTTAAGTAAACAAGCTACGACAAACGGACAACTGAATATCGTCTAGTCGCTGATCACGGTAGTTTATCCATCAACTTTGAAGTGTATTGAATTTTGACTAACTGCAGAGCAGTGGCATTCCCCCAGCGTCCTTGTTTTCTCATATTTCTGTTATTTGTAGAGAAAAACGATTCATTTCTTTTTTTTAAATGAAAATTCATATGGTTTTCTGTATATGTTCAAGATTTCATGACCATAAAATCGATAAATCATTTTTATGAACACTCAAAAGTGGCTGGTCAAAAAAATAACACGCCGCCATTCAAATTTAGTTTATCGATGATCGGAATTTAATATTACAAATGGATTTCTCTTTGCTTTAACTCAAAAGGCCTCAAATGAAGAGATTCAGCTGTGAATTGGAACCTAGGCTCTCGAGGGTCGACCAATCGATTCGAGACATTCATTTTATCGAGTCTACCAACACGAGACTACTTCAAATTACTTCAAACTCACTTCTCAATCAGTTGATAGTATCCGCTGTTCAGCATTTGCCCGCAAATTTCATCCCATCTACTCTAAGATAACAAAACTTTGCTTTAAAAAGTAAAGAAAAATGATTTTGTTGGGGTTTTTTATTTCAAAATTCAAAATTTAAGTTGCGGCTTATTATTTTTTTTTGACCAGCCATTTTTGAGTGTTCATAAAAATGATTTATCGATTTTATGGTCATGGAAATCTTGAACATATACAGAAGATGATATGAATTTTCATTTAAAAAAAGAAATTAATTGTTTTGGTCTACAAATAACCGAAATATGAGCCTAGAAGGGGCTATTGGGACAGGTGATTTTTGGTTACCTTTTTTGTTTTGTTTTCGTCTTGACCCAACCAATTGAATTTACGAATTTGCAAAAAAGTTATTACAAAACCCCAAGGAAACTCCTATGCCTTTGACTATTGAATCTAGAAATGAGCTTTTCCAATCTCTCACCAAAACTATCCTCAAACACCGGTTCGTAGTTCCAATCAAAGCGATATTTCTGACAAAGAACATATTTATGTACAGAGCAATTACCAGCAATCCTAAACAATTCCTTTTGTAAGTTTAAGCCCGGTTATTTAGTATTTTTCAAATTCAACTTGAGGAAAAAGATAATGTGTGCTTTGAATTTCGCATTGGGGTATTAGAAATTGACTTCAACTTCACTGACTCACGACTCTCGGGATTAAGATTAAGATTAAGAAGACAATCGACAACCATTTGCATCAACTCAAGAAAAAAATTTGCTGTGGAAAATGCGTGGCAAACTGGCTCAAGACAAAAAAACTCATCTCAGCGTCAGTTCTTTTTGCTCCATAAATGCAAAGCTGTTGGTTTTTGGGATTTGATTTTGAGATCTGTTGAAACTTGGATTAATTACGAGAATATAAAAAAAATCAATAGCTATCTACCGGACAAACCACTTTCAAACCAGCTATTCAAGGAAAATAATGCTCTGTTGCTGGGTGGAACTCAAAAGGTTTGGTGTTAGCTGATCCATAGAGAAAACATTGATGCTGATCTCTATTCAAAACAATTGACGAGAGTTCACGATGCTTTAAAGAAATGCGAGCTAATCGAGCTAAAGAAATTTAAAGAAAGCTCAATCCATCAAAGATTCGTTTTTTTTTTTTTTGCACGACAACGCGGAAACAACTCATCTCAGCGTCAGTTCTTTTTTGCTCCATAAATGCAAAGCTGTTGGTTTTGACACTCAAAAGTGCAAAATCACATGATTTTTGAGAGAATCTTGACTTCTGATGAGACTTGGATCAGTTATGACAATGTCACTCGATAAAATCAATGGCTCTTTGCCACTCCCAAGCCTGATAGCCATGGATCGAAGATCATGCCTATTTACGGTGGAATTCGGAAAGGATTGGTGCATTATGAAGTGCTAAAATCTAGACAAACATTCGATGCAGACCTTTACGTAAAACAACTAGTAGTTAAAAAGCTTTAAAGAAATCAAATCAATCAAATCAATCAAACCAGATTGTCCAGTTGGCCGACTGGTTAGGAGTCTTGTCTCCTAATCGGAAGGTCGAGGTTTCGATCTCGCTGGCAAAATCAAGTGTGTTCTTTTTTCCCATTAAGTTGGGTTTTTCTTAACTACATTGTAGGGGTAAAAATTGTGTCCTCCGTTGTGTTGTATCCACTTATTCATGTTGAATAAAGTATCTTTTAAACCAAACTGTCACGAGGGAAGCAAACCGTCATGAGTCCGATTTCTGCACGATAACGCTAAACCCCAAAAAGTCACTGACGGAAAAATCGACGAGCTAGGCTGGAAGTTACTTTCTTATGCGCCTTACTCTCTTGACTTAGCCCCGTCAGCTTTTCGCTACTTTTCGCTACTAGCTTACTTTTTGTTTCAATCCCTGAAACAGTTTATCACAGGAGAAAAGTTCGATGATCATGCTCAATTCAAAAAAACGGTTGACAACTATTTTGGCTCCAAAATTCCTTTTCACAGATAGAATTGCATTGAAGATGGGAAGAAGTCATCGATAAAAATGGAGAATACCTTACTGATTGATAGTTTGCTATTCTTGTAGAATGCAATAAATTGTTATACCCAAAAACGCGCACGATTTTTTCCCCTCAATCTAATTTTAACTCAATCCATTATTTTTCCTCAACCTACCAGTTTTCCTTATCTTTACTCGCATCAAAGTAAGCGCAAGGAGACTTGAGATCGTTAGGTGCCACACCTCCTGGCCAAAGTTTGTCGTTATGGGCGAATACTGAAAGTAAAGGACTTGCTACCTATAAAATAAGCCATTTATCTTTTTTACTCTTAGTTAATAAAATCTTGGTGTTAGTTTTAAAGTCAGAGTTTAAAACAGAGTTTTTTAAAGTCAGAGTTTCCCAACCTTCATCGCAGGCCGACCATCTTCACGACTCCACTCCCAACCTGTCGCGTTGAGATTGTTGAGACCAAGCCAAAAGCTTGAATCCCCTCCTTGTGCTAGAAAATCAAATCGAAGAAAACATCAAAGTTTAATAAGAAGAACACTGACTGATTAAAAATCGTGTTTGTCTTGAGTCAGATCATCGGCCAACATGGCTCCCACACTATGGCAGTAGGCTGCGGCATTGTAGTAGTCGCGGAATATAAGAGTCCACTTAAAACAATAGTCTCCAGCTGGTTCCCAACCATAATCACAATCTAAAGACTTCAAGATCTAGTAAACGGTTAATAACCACTGACCTGGCCGTAGAACGTTAATGCTCAACCCAGCGTCTGAATCGTTGATGAGTATTGGCATATTTCTTGGCCTAACTACAAAGATTTAGAAATATTTTAAAGTTTAATATGAAATAATGAAAAATATGGTTTTTGCTTAGTTTTCGAGTATTTTTGAAAGAGTCCGGGTATATGGAAAAATCCTGGCGACTTTTAAATAAGTCGTCAGGCTTTGAAGGTCTATAACTTTGTCCAGAGATAATATTTTTGTTAACTTTCTATATCGTTGTACAGAGGACATTTTAGGCTTTCAAATGATATCAAATAAAGCTCGATTGGGTAATCCAGTCCCCGAATCAGAGCCAACTCTGAGCAAATGAGGTCTATCCAATTCGGGTGTTGTGTCGCCTGGTTTGCATGGGAATGAAAAAACCAATCATGCTCTATTTGATATCATTTGAAAGCCTAAAATGTCCTCTGTACAATTATAGAAAGTTAACAAAAATATTTCTGGACAAAGTTATAGGCCCTTCCAAAGCGTGACGTACCCATTCAAAATACCTGGAAACTACGCAAGGGCCAAAAATATTTCTTGACTTGTGTTAGCTTAAATGATATGTTTAGAAGTCCATTTTTATAAACCCTATAAATAAATCATAACGATTACTGTATTTATCGACAAGTTTAACGTCGGGTTTGTATCCGTTGACAGCGATGAGCAGTGATTGAGCAAAAGCGTCAACAGGAAACGGTACATTGATGCCCCATGTGCAGTCTTCTGAACTGTGCTGAGCAACAAGGCCTTGCATGAATTTCATCGGAATCGTTCCAACAAACTAGAAACAACCAGTTGCAACTTTAAGAACAATTCAAACAAATTTCATTCATAGTAAACTGAAAACTCACCGAATCCGTGTAAAATTGTTGCAAGTTGTAAAACTCTCCATTTGTCGTTTGGCATAAGCTTTGAAGCAGTGAGAAGTCATGCTAGAATTTGACTTAGAAAACTAGTTTTTGTTTTGTTTTTAAAACTGCGACTTCTTTTTGCTTAAAATTTCTTCTTACTTGAGTATTATTGCAGACAAAAATGCCAGCATTGGTGACAGTGACAGAGATTTACTTTGTTGCAAATCACTCATTGTTTAAGTGATTTTTCCAAGCTGGCTCTCATCCGGTTTACTGGCCAAGAAGACGTTTAGATAGGATCCGAACTGGGAAGATTGCTGGGCTTGCGCAAGTGCTTGCCACAATTGCACAGTTGTGTCGCATTTGTCGGTTGAGTTGTCCAGAGCGTTATAGTTACTCGCAAAGTCCTTTAGAGCGCTAAGAACCTGAAAGTAGAATATTTAAGAATTTAGTTACAATCAACACATTATAAAGCTCATCTACAAAGAATTTTCTCAATTTTCCTTCATCCCTCCCTCTTTTGGGCATCACTTATTTAGGATTTAGAGTTAAGAGATACCCAGAACGATGCTCTGCTCTACAAAAGTCATTTAAAGGAGTCATTTAAAGTAATTCATATATACCAAGGCTCTCTGATAATGTTAGAATTGAAATTTCACCCACATTCGTCTGATCCCAGATTGGTGAAATTGCCAGCTGTCCTGCCCATGTCGAGTTATAGCCGAAAAAGACGAAAGTTTTGACCAAATCTCTATGCTCTGAGACAGCATCACGCATCGTTTCCGGTAAAGCTTTATAGAGGTAAACAATCTAAAGGTAAACAATCTAAGGGTCAAATCTTTCTTGAAGAAATAACCTGCGCAAAAGCGGTGGTGCTCATTTCGATGACGAGCACAATGTCGATGTGCTTTGTGAAAGTTGGAGGAGAGGGACCTTTCTCGGTGCAAGAGACTGAAAAGATTGTTTTGAAAAATAAGTGAGAATCTTTGTCGCTTATCATTTACACAAAAAAGCTCAACTTACCCGTTTCACAATGTGCACCAGAGAAGCCAGACGGACATTGACAAATGCCATTTTCCAGTGTCCCACCATTCCAACACAACAACTTCTCGCAGAAGACACCCTCGTAACCAAATGGACAGAAACAAAAGCCATCAGTAAAAACTCCACCATTTGTGCAATTAGTTATATCTTGAAAGTTTTCACAATTTCAAAGAGACCAATTTTGGTAATACTGCACTTTTTGGGGGTATAGAATTTGTTTTCCTAACAAAGGAATGACAAAGAAATGATCTAAACTGGGATGTTTCAGGATAAGCTCTGAGTGCAAACACCAATCAGATATGGGCATTCCAAATATCTATTCACTTTTTGCCAAATTTAAAATCCTGGCAAGAAAAATGTATTTAAAGTTTCGATCATTTTCAAGTCAATAAGAGCTTTGTTACAACTTTTTTTTTCTTTGAAGAATTATTAATCAATAACAACTTTTATTTTGTTAGTGATTAATAATTCTTCCCAATGTCGATAAGCACTGTAATCGCCTTAAAAATCGTAGTGTCAGCTTTCAAAAAACAAAAAGTTTGTCGGTGGCCGGACTTGAACTCACCGGAAGAAGCGAGATGGGTTCTCTAGCTCGACTCACTACCCTGTAGGCCATCGCTGCCACATATTCTTCGCGTCTGGCGCGCTCTTAGTGGCTAGAGGGCGATTTTTCGTGGTCGAAAATGGTGGAAACTTCAAATGCATTTTTCTCGCCTGGATTTCAATTGGCCAAAAACTGAATAGATATTTAGAATGTTCATATTCGACTGATGTTTGTCAATTGTTCATTTCAATTGTCAATTGTTGTCAATAGTCAATTGTTGTCAATTGTTTGCCAATCAATTGTTCCTGCCAACTTATCCGAAAACGTCAACCCCAATTTGGATCATTCCCTTGTAAGAAAGAAAAAGCAACTAATCCATTTTGAGAGTTGTTGCAAAATGCATGGACAAGGCATGGAGCCTTGCCAGGACAAGGCATAGAAGCGCCTACCTTGCCTTGCTTTTATGACAAGTTTTTTAAGCTGAAAATATACTGAAAGTGAGCTTACTTTGACCTTTCATTGCCTCGAAATTTAGGCTTAGGAACAACCCTAATCCTTTTTAAATGAGACATCGGTTATTCTATGGAATTTTTATGAAGACTCTGAATCTGGCTTGATTCTCCTAAACAAATTGGTCTTTTTGGTGGCAAAAACTTTTGTCACTGGACATCTGAATCTGGCTTTCATGCCAAATATACAGTACTGGACAATAAAATATGATATTTGAAAAAAGGTCGTCACTTTCGCGCATCTGTAACTCCCTTGTCTTTGCATTTTAAACTATTAGTGTTATACCTCTTCCTGAAAGCTCTTTTCAAGGGCTACACAATGGCAATATTAATATTTAGAAATACGGTAAAGACAAGGGAGTTACAGATGCGCGAAAGTGCGAAAGAATTTTTTCAATTTGTAGCATATTTTCCTTGCCTTCACTCGTCGAACACAGAAATGGTCTTGCAATTGAGCACTCCGATGCTTTCCACTGTCCACTTATCGGCAACATTAAAGCACACGTGTAATCGGTTGCGTTTTTTGGTTCTCCTAAACAAATTGGTCTTTTTGGTGCGAAAAACTTTTGTCACCGGACATCCAGTTTTGATAGTTGAGCGTCGATCCATCGGAATACACCCAAGCACCGTTGGGTTTCTTCTCAACTCCGATAAAAGTTTCCGAATTGTTGAGCTCTTACAGAAGAAAAATCATTTTAAAAGAAAACAAACAAATCTAACCAAGAGTGATAAGTCTGAGAGCAAAGTTGTTCTCGAATATGTTCTGTATTTTTACCACATCCGCTTGTAGTCGTGCACACATCCGAACAACGTCAACATAGTATTCAGCTAAGTTAATTTTCTTTATTGTTTTAATTTTGATTAAATCTAAGACTTTTGCTAGTTTATCAGCAGATAAATGCAATTTTTTTCAATTTTTTTCGAAAAAAACTAACGATCAAAGACAGCAACCACACATTTATTGTCATTTGGGATCTCTTGAAAGTTCGATGGACATCCGCTAATTAATTCAATAAAAGTATAAAAGCGAATATAAATTGAAAGTTTCTCGTCATGATTCGTCACACGCGAGAGAAAATGTCGTTGAATTTCAGAGCTCTCAAGTTTCCTTATCGGGAAATTCTTTTTAGCGCAAATTTTTATGACAAATATGTGCAGATATTTGGTTTTTTGGGGAGAATCATTACATTAAAAACATTGGTTGTATTGACAAAGAAATCTTGACTCTTCTCAAAGAATAAAACAATTTTTTCGGGCTTATTTCTAAAGAAATCTACAGAACATGCAAAGAAAAGCGCACAGGAAAACGAATCTTTTTGCTATTGATTATTTAATTTAAGTGATAAGAGATGACTTATACCAATGAAAACTCCCGCTTCTTATTCTTATTGCAATTTTGTATTCTAAGACTGAATCCTTTTGATGCCCAAACGGTTTTGGAAAAATATTTTTAGTTTAAATTTGAAATTTGGGCGAAAGGGCGAAAGCAGCAAAGTAAAAAAAGACAGCAACAATTCTAACAATTTGTCAAGCCTACTGTTAAGGGAAGGGATTTGAAATTTGAAATGAACTTTTAGCTAAAACCTTGCCAATTCCCAAGAACTTTCAGATGCCTACCATCCACCAAATTGACGTTAAAGAGTTAGATAGCAACAATTCTATAAAGGATTTTCAAAATCTTTTTCGATTTCATATTTCTGATCGATATGACGTAAATAAATCTGTTAAAATCCACATACAATTTAAGAAATTCATTTGCAAAAGTGTCTTCTTTCGATAAAACGCAATAATTGACTTCTATTAGGTTGATGCATAAGTCTTTTCGTTTTTTTCGTACTTCTGTTAAAAAAGTAACAAATTCACGAATTAATCTATAGTTTGCTCTATAAAAAAGTGTTTTTTGTTCAATTTGCATCTTTTAAATGAATTTCGGTTCACTTTCAAGCAAATTCGAGAGTGAAAACGCCTTTTTCGTAAAAATCTATAAAAAAACTCTACGGAAAAATTGGCTGAATGAATTTCTCTGAAATTTTGGCGAAATATCAAACTTTTTTTCTCTATCTTTTATCTATTGACACGAAGATAGGTTTTCTTTAGCTAAGGTGTCTAAACCGCATCATCGAGTTAGCCCTTTTTGACTACCCGACTTCATACTCTCAAGAAAATCCAGGCATTAAATATTTTTAAACCCGTTTTAATGTTATTTTGCAGAAAAATAATTGGTTTTTCTAATGAAATCAACCGTAGTTTAATTCGTGCATTTGTTGGCTTGAAACGGCAGACGAAAAGGAACAAAAACACTTATGCATCAACCTATTAATAAACGAGTTTCACCCAATTCTAATTGATCTAAAGAATTTTATATATGAACTAAGCTCTAAATCAATATATTGATAACTCGAATCTCATTCGCCAACAACTTTACTAAGTTTTATTTAATCTCAAAGAGCACAAAACAGGAAAATGCAGCCCAATCTGGCACCTGGGCTATGGCAGGAACTAAAAAAATGGTGGAAGTTGATCAGTGACGAAACTTTTCCCTTTCAATGTGCTTTAGAAAGTTCTCATTTGTCTTTGAATTGTTTTCTTTCGTTGTCGAAAACGTATCTAAATGGAAATTATCGGAAACTTTTGAACGAATTTCTTCGAAGTTCAGTTGTTCAAAGTGAGCATCAAATTTAGTGGGGAATGCAATTTTTACATGCAATTATTTTCAATTTTTTTTCTAAAAAACTGGCGATCAAAGACCGCAACCGTAAAGAAGAAAAAAAAGACATTTATTATCATTTGGGATCTCTTGAATTTCAGCCGGGAC